GCAACAGAGGAATAAAAATGAAAAGGAAAAGAAACATTAAAAATAGAATAAGTAAAAAAAGTCTAAAATAGAAAAAATAAAATTAAATTATATCAGTAATCACAAAGCCTGCAAGTGAACTAAACACTCCATTTAAGAGATAGATTATTAAGGTGGATTTCTTAAAGAATCTATGTTATTTTTATAGGAAATACATGCAACATAAGGACACAGATTGAAAAGCAAATAATTTTTAAAATGCATTAGGTAAGTAGAAAGTTGGTGTGGCTATATTTATAGCAGATAAAAGTTCTTTTGGGGGAAGAAAACATAATCAGAGATAAGTATGATCACTGTATTAAAGCCTCATTCTCTGGATATGTGCCTTCAAATAACATAGCTTCAGGACATAGAAAATGAAAATTGACAGACTTCAAGCAGAAATGGACAAATCAAGTATTTTAATGAGAGATTTAAACTTCTTTTAGAAATTCGTAGATCAAACAGATAAGAATCTAGAAAACATGGACAGCACAATTACCTGGCTAGATCTAGTGGCACATGGGGAGCACTCTAGCCAACAACTCAAGATTACATATTCTTTATGCATATTTTTAAGTACCCTTGCAAAATTAAAAAATCAAGAACAACAAAATAAATCAGAACAAAATATATACAGGGAAAAAATAAAAATAAGTATAGAAATCTGCAAAACAAAAGACAAAGAAACTTCAAGAACACCAACAAAAAACACATATGGCAGGACTGGCATATAGTGGTACTTGGTACATATCTTTCTGTTCATTGAATAAAAAGCAATAGAAGACTATAAATGTGTGTACATGAAAAGGTTTGAAATTCACCAAATAGTGATTAAATCTGAATTGGTCAGTCTTAGGTTATCCTGCTTTTTTTCTTTGTTCTTTTCTGTATTTTCTGAGCTCTCTGTATGTATTTCCCTTACAATTTTATGAAAACACATTATTTTGAAATAAAAGTAAGTAGATTTTTGCAGAGATGGACTAGAGAGAGGATTAAATGTCCCTGACAACACCTCTGGTCAGTGGGATGGGAAGGTGCAATGTAAGACCACACTTCAGAGGTCCTTCGCTCCCTACTACATGGATGACTTTAAGTGTAATCCCTTTGAACCCGTTCTCCAAGTGGCAACAATAAAGCTTTCCTCAAAGAATTACTCAGATAGGTGACCCCGTGCAAAGCACTTAGTACAGTGTCTCATACTGCAGACGTCAATAGCCGTTTTCCTTTCCCTGCTTGAGGAAGCAGGCTTAGGGAAATATCCCTCTCCATTTCTAAGGAATATACCCTGAGTGGAAGGCAAATTCGATCAGTCTGGAATATGCAACTGGATGAAAGCTTCATATGTGAAATTATATTTGTGCCCTCCTGGAGAGCCAAGAAAATTAAGAAATGAACCAAGAAATTCATCTCCTTTATTAGATGTAAGAATGAAGGTGCAGTATTATCATTTCCTTGTGATAGTCATATCTAATAGTTCTGAAACCAATTCACAGTATTCATGTCAGACTTATTTTATGAGACATTTAACCATTGCTAAATTAAATTTCATAGGAGAATGTGCCTATATAACTCCTCTGGAGTTACAGAGATAGAAATCTGACCCATCATTTCTATTTTCACGGAAAACCATTTAGCAGAACTTTGTTCCAGTAGAAGTGTTTATTGAGTTGTAAGCCTAACACAGTTCACTGGCTGCATGTATTTCCACACTGACATTTTTCTCAGTGCAGATTTGCATCAGTTCATTAGTACTGACAGCAGATGGTAGTACTTTCACACAAATTTACCTTCTGAATTGATCTAAGAAATGTCACTAAAAAGATCCTGACAGTTTTGATGTTCTTCCATTTCTGAAAATGGTATGTTAAACAAATAAGGTGTAGGGTTTTAGATTTTTTTGAACTCTAGCTCATAATTCCTAAACTAAAAATGAAAGACGGCTTTCATCTCTGATTCTGGCTGTCTGCAGGAGAAAGTAGAAAATGCAGATAATGTTTCCTGATGGCATGAACCTTAAAAAATCTCCAGTGCAGAAAAATGGCTTTTGGAGAATATTATCCAGATTGATTGTCTACACTGATAAGACACCTCAAATTATTTGTAAATTCTCTACCGTAACTTTGAATATAAATTGTTTGGCTTGCAAGATTAGCTGATTGAATGTTACTGAAAAAATAGTATCAGCTCAGGTCATAAGGCTCACTTTGAATTCTGTCACTTCTGCAGCATTAACATATCGCTAAGATTAGCCACATTTTAAAACTATAGATTTGCCGTTAGTTAGGGTTAAATCATTATAAAATTGTCAGACAAGAAGACTTAATATTTGCTAAGTGAACGATGAGGGAAGATATGAATTCTAATCACATCGGGGAAACTTTTTATTTTTCTATATTGTATAATCATTATTATATTCATAATGACTTAAGGCCTGTATTCAGTAGTCTTATATATTTAGAAGCCAGGATTTTTGAGTATTTTAAAAATTAATTTTCCATCCGTATCTGAGAAGTAATTAATGGTTTGGTTAGTTTGCCACAACTAAGAGAAGCTGACACACTTGAGAAAGCATTGGGTGTTGGCCATATACAGTTTAACCATGGAAGTGATTATGGATGCTTTTGACACACTGCTAGAAGAGTGGCCATGATTAGCAACATATTTAAGGGATTTATTTAACAACAAAAAGGAGCTTTTCGGTTCTAAATGCTCTCAAAATCAAGGGACCCTGTTTTATTTTATTCATAACGCTTATTATTTTCTGGATTATTTTGTCTATTTATTTGTTCTATAAATTTATTGGCTGTCTCCTGCACTGGCATGAAAGTTCCCTGGGATCAGGGACTTTGTTTATCTTTGCAATACAGTGAACTCTATTACTATATCCAGAACTGTTCCTGGCAGACACATAAGACATGATCAGTAGATATGTGTTGAATTAATAAATACTAGTTTAAGGCATATAAGGAGAGCCAGAATCAAGCTGGACGGGAAGACTTGCTATAGGCATAACACATTTGGGCTCTGACCCTAGGCTCTGCTTAGATTCAAATGGGAAGGAGGGGTGGGAAGAGAGCAGGAAAGAGGGAGCGAGCCCAGGCTCTGCTGTAAGAGTCAGGCCACTAGGCAGACTCTGGAGGTGGCGCTCAGGAGACATACACTGCCCCATACCCAGTGGATACCCCAGCCCTCAGCACACACATACATCCCCAAATTTCCATACCCAGCGCCTCCAATACATGGTGGAATGGTGCCTCTGTTTCCTGTGAGCAGGTGTGTGCACATGCACACCAACATGAGTGTTTTGGGGTTGGAGGGTAGAGTTAGCAGCAACAACCACACGTAATTCTTTCCATGGATGCTCTGAGTTCAGCTTCTCCTTGGACTGGCTGACAAGAGGAGAAGAAGCCAGGAGAAGAAGCTAGGCCCCTAGTCCAAATACAGCCAACAGGCTTGTTTTATTTGGCCCACTCTATGTTTAAAAAAAAAAAAAAAAAAAAAAAAAAGTGCCAAAATTTAAATTTAGGAGATTTTACATAAAAATCTGGATTGCTAGGTTATTTTGACAAATGGGAAGACCTGGCACACTGAACCTACATTCCCACATGGCACAATTGGCTGGAGCAGAGTAGCAAGCCTAGCCTTGGCTGGGCACACTCTCCATTTCCCCACAGTCCCTGTCACCTGCTTGTGTATTTAACTGACCTCGCTCCTTCACGCTACCTGTGTGATCTTTGTAGGTATCTGTCCCAGGTTGCTTGGCCAGCTATAACAAAATACCACAGATTGGGTAGTTTACACACAACGGAAATTTATTTTTTACAATTCTGAAGTCTGAGATCAGTATACCAGCCTGTTCTCATAAGGACACTCTTTCGGGTCACACACTTCTTGTGTCCTCACATGGCAGAAGGGGGTGAACTAGCAATCAGGGGGCGGGATCTCTTTTATAAGGTCCAAATTCTCATTCCTGAGGGCTCTACCCTCATGACCTAATCACTTCCTAAAGGCCCAACCTCCTGTAATACCTTCACACCGGGCTTTAGGATTTCAACATATGAATATGGGGAGATGCAAACATTCAGACCATAGCAGTATTTGAGTTTGCAGTCTTTGGAGTAGTTGTGAATCTACAATGTAAACGATCAATAAATTTATTGTTATAATTGTTTTTGCATTGGTACAATTTGTGCGTGGATCACTCACTACATAGAAATCTCCTAGGGCTCCCCATTGTTGGCCAAATTATGTCCACATTGCTACACTGGCAGCGGTCTGACCTGTATCTTGGATCCAGTCATTCTCCTATGAAGGCAGTGGCGTTGCATCAAGTGAGTTTTGATTTACAGAAACGGCCCAATAAGCTTGGGAGAGACAGAAGGATAGAAACAGATAAACAGAGGAAACTCAGAAAGAGACAGACAGAAGTACAACAATTTAAATAATGCAAGCCATTCTCCTGCTTCCTCTCCCCTCCCCTACCATTCTACCCACTGAACATGTGCCTGTTGGCACCGCAGTGATGCTTGAAACAATCAACACATTGGCAAAGTTTATGTAAAAAAAAAAAAAAAAAAAAAAAAAAAGTGTGAAAGATTTTGGTTCCCTTACAATGAGGCGAATGAAATACGTTGTTCACGTGGTCAGGCTACTGGGCTTCACAGACAGCCTTGAGGAAAAACCGGAGAATAATTACAGGCCATAGAGTAACATTAGTTGACAAAGAGAGGAAACTGATAAAATTTGTCTACAGTTGGTATTGTGTAAACAAAACTGTGTACCCTTCTATACTTTATCAATTCATAACTTCTTATCATGTGCGGATTATGAATTATATTTCAAAAACTGAAATTGATCTGTATCTTAATTTAGTAACTTGGAATTTAAAGCAAACTTTTATTTTAACAAACCAGATTGTGCGTTTTAACTTTTTCAAAGTAACTCACACTGGCATCCTGGACCAACTCTGATTCCTACAGGAGCATCCAATACTTGGGCAGCCTTTTTTTGTACTTCATCCCTGCAAGACAGATGAATTCATGACTCCTGTGTTAAAGAATTCTCAAAAAATCAATAGGTAAGAAACACCATCAAGATACATTGGCTTTTACTCTTATTTTAAAAGTGTAAATCTTTTTATGTGACTCTAAAAGCCAAGCTAAAAAAGAAATATTTTTTGTAATAATAATAATGGCTAATGTTTATTGATTTTTACTGTGTGCTAGGCACTGTTCTAAGTATTTTAGATATATTAAGACATTGGATTTTTATAACACCCCATGAGCTAATTTCCATTATTTTACCCAGTTTACAGAAGAGGAAGCTAAAGCACAGAGGAATTAAATGACTTGGCCAAGTTCACACTGCTAGTTAGATGGTAGAACTGGGATTTGAACCCAGGCATTTGTGCCTCAGAGCCATGCTCTTAACCACTGCACTATGCTACCGTAGCAAATGCTGTAAATTTTAAGTGTAAAATTGGAATCATCAAGGGGAGTCAGCAGTCCCAGTGCCTTGACTCCCCTTTTAACTACCTTACTGGGGATCCTCAGTCCCTTTGGACTTCAAGTTCCTGTCAAGTAATGGAGCTGATATTTGGAAATGCTAGAATTCCACATGGTGGGCACATATCTTTGAAGACAGCTCATCTCTTCTGTTGGTAACTGATTTTCTACCACTCACCCAACTACAATGGAAGCATGAGAGTTTCCTGTTTTTTCACTTGTTTCCTAGGAGTGTCAACTACATCACATCTTGGCTGAGCGTTGTAGGGCCAGTTGTTGGGCTAAATCTACCTCTGAGTTATGCCAGAGCAGCTTCTGAGGATGAATGAAATGTCCATCAACAAGGTAAAAAGGAAAGCCCGCATTGAATGGTTTGCCAAGACAAAGACCCTGTTATCTCTGTTACACTTAGGGTCTTCACTGGCCCCATCAAATGTTAAGTCTTCTTTCATCTTTAATAGGCTGAACATGGACTGTTTGTTTAGGTTTTCAGCCAGGCAGGGCCCCATCGTTTAGGAAGCATTGGACTTTGCTACAATAACACTCACCCAAACACAGGAGTGGATGGCTTTATTTCAGAATTGTAATAATTCTTTATTGCTCAGTTAACTTTCTTTTATTCTCTTGGCTTTTGTTTTGTTTTTGTTCTTAACTTTCTTCTGTTGAGCCAAAGAACTTAGAAAATTGTGGCATGAAGGACACCAAAAGTATACTTGGCCAGCCCGGTTTTAATAGGACAAATACCGTGCAATATTTCGACTCACCAAGACTTTGACATGGATTATTTTTTCTATTGGAAGCAAATGTCTGTAGTAACTGATATACTGTATACCTAATCTGGAAGAATTTTTGGTTTGGATTTGCTTGTTTTGTTTTTCATTTTAACTTGCCCAGGGGTTGAAACTAAGACAAAATGTAATTGTCTCTTTAGACAATCTAGATCGGTGTCTATCAATGAGGAATGTACTTTAGAATCACCTGTGGATCTTTTATGACTATGAATGCTTGGGGCTATCTTCTGAAACAGCCTCACTGGGGTGGTTCTGACCCACCTGCTTCTGGAGAACCTCTGATCTGGACGTACCTTTAGTGTGGCATTTATTTGTATTGTTTTGGTCTCCCAATAGGCCTTTTCCAGTTCTGTATGAGCTCCAGCAAGCCTGACTTACTTCCTACCATTTGTCTGGACTTTGCTCCAGGCCTCCTGGTTGTTAAGAACATCTAGGAGACATTTGTTCATGAGACAGCCCACTTGGAGGAAGCCATGGGGTGAGGGGGTTATCTACTGGCCGATCACAGTAGACTGTGCCTGCACTCATAGTCTGTAGGTTCGAGGCTGAGCTCTCATACCGGGAGTGGAAGTAGAGAATGGGTTAATTCAAACTGCTAGAAAAGCTAAAAGTAAATTTTAAAATGCTGAGCTGCACATATTCATGCTGGGATGAGAGCCTGCTTACATGCTTGCTGGGCATTTTGGTATTTACCACTTAACATCTTTTCAACTTCTGCAGGGATTTTCATCACCCACCGCTCCCCGCCCCCCCCCCCCCCATCCACTCTCCCTAATGTAAACACAGATTTCTCAGCAAGTCATTTCTCAGACCATGTCATTTCTGGGGTAAAAAAACTAAATAAATTATAATAATGTGTCATCTGGATGATGTACTCGTTTGGAAATATTAGTTATCCTTTGCTACCAGATTCTGAGGGATAGTATCAATCACATAGGGACAATGTTTTTGTTGGTGTCAGAGTTGTTTTCAAGTTAATTTTTTTTGGTCTGCTTGATGAAGACCTTAAAATTCATCAGTGGCAGAAAATAATTCTGAAAAGCTCTTGTAGGTTGTAGAGACCACTCCCCCCAGATAGATATCTCTGCTCAGGCAGCTCTATTTCTTTTCAGAATAGTTTTTGCTTTAAAAAAACTTAATTTTTGATTGATAAAAATTTCCATTTTTAAGAGTGCAGCTACATAACAGACTGTTATCCCAACAGTTATAAAACATTAGAAAATATTTTGTTTTGTCAAAGTAACAGCTCTTTCTCTGCAATATGAGGATTTTTCCTCCGGGTTTCTTCTCCAGTTAATATAATGCAAAACCCCTTCAATCAGAAATAGTGCTGGTTAAAGCTACCAAACAGTATCCTAAACTGCTTTTGTGTAGCCTTGGAACACTTACTTCACCTCCTTGGTCCTCAGCTATGTGATTTGTGAGACCGACTGTAATTCTTGGTCTGTGAAATAGAAGTGTTGAATTCTAGACTGTGAGGTTGGTGAGCTGCCAGCTGTGTGACTTGGGCTAAATTTCCTAATCTCCTTTAGGCTTTTGCCATTTCTATTTTTAAAAAGCCCATTAACATCCATCCTACTCACCTACCAAGAGCAGGAAGGAGATCAAAATGCTAAGTCAACCTGAATGTGCTTCATAACCAACATAATGCCACAAGAGTAAGGGTGATCTGGGATAATTAGCCCCAGCTCCTATCCAGTGTCAGCATACATTCTCCCTCCCTCCCTCCCACCTTGTTTCCCAACACAAATGGGCCCCACCCCCCCATCAGGCAAGTTGTCTCCACCCACATCCTTATCTGAGTGTTGTTCTTGCTGGCTCCCACCTGGAAATGCTTCCTTCTCCATCTCTCTACTCAATTCTCAACCTAGTCTATATAATTCACTCTTACAAAGCCATCTCTGACCACCATAGCTCCCACTGGTCAACCTCTCCCTTCATTACTCACTGCACTTAGTCATAGTAGCATTTAATTTTCTCCCTTTCACTCTGATCGCCTCCTTAATGATGGATAATAAAATAACTTACCCACTTTCTTTGGTATGTTATAAGGTAGCATGCACATGAGAGTTGTTGTCTGCCCTTTGTAAGTGATCCAGGGAAGGCTCTCAGTCTGGGGATTGGGCCAGCAGCTGTGTTGATCATTTGATACTATAGCCTACAGACTGGGGGATAAAAAACCCAAACTAACCATCTTCCTAACACAGATGTATTAAAATAAAGATGTATTAAAGTAAAGGAAGTTAAAACTGGGTTTTTACATCCATTTTTCCTGAGATACGTATAGTTTTTATTCATACTCTCAAGATATTAGAAAATGGAGATCTGCATTGTCAGAACCAGCTCTTACATAATTCAAACAGCTGATATTCCAGTGAGTTGGGTTTTTTAAGGATTAAAATGTGAGAATAAGAATATGCAAATAATCAGTCCAGCAGATACCAACTGAGTTTCTCTTGTGTACCTAGCCCAGTGTTAGTGGCCAGGGATGACAAACAGAAAGACATGACCCTGGCTCATAAGAATGCCACAGTCCAGTGAAAAACACAGACAAGAAGAAGACTCAGGGACAGTAGGATGTGTGCTGTGGCAAAGGTGTGGAAAGCCAGTGCCCGGGAAGGTTTGCAGAAGAGGAATGTGAGTGGAGCTGTGAAAAATCTAAGATTTAGCCAGGTCAAGAATGGAGGAAGGACCTTGAAAATGCATGGGGAACTGGCAAAGAGTGAGGCTGGCTCAAAGGACTGGGGCCAGGTCTGGAGGAGATTTATTGCCACACTGAGAATTTGTATCTGGCCTAAAAAACAGAAAGAACCACTGAGGGAATGCAAGTCGAAGAGTTGAAATGATCACTCTTGCATTTTGGAAAGATCCTGTATTTTTTAGGGGCGCCTGGGTGGCGCAGTCGGTTAAGCGTCCGACTTCAGCCAGGTCACGATCTCGCGGTCCGTGAGTTCGAGCCCCGCGTCGGGCTCTGGGCTGATGGCTCAGAGCCTGGAGCCTGTTTCCGGTTCTGTGTCTCCCTCTCTCTCTGCCCCTCGCCCGTTCATGCTCTGTCTCTCTCTGTCCCAAAAATAAATAAACGTTGAAAAAAAAAATTTAAAAAAAAAAAAAAAGATCCTGTATTTTTTAAATGATGATTGTATATAACTAGTCACACAACTACTTTGTCAGTTTTTATCACAAGCAGGTACTGGCCGACAGGCTCTAGAAGGTAGGAGTGCATAAAGGGCTGGGGGTATGCCAAGGATATTTTTCAGTTTTTACCCAGGACCTTACAAAACCAAACCTGCCAGTGCCTGGAATGCCTGTTTCCTGACTGTGTTACCTGGGGCAAGTCACTGCACCTCTCTGAGCCTCTCTTTCCTAATGTATTAAATGGAATGAAGTGTATTAGATCACTAATTAGTTATTAATTTATGACTAGTATATATGTATATTTTTTATGAAATAGAATATGTCTGGGAAACATTCCCTGTGTTATCTTCTTTACTCTCATACTACTACACTCACCACACTTCTGACTCTAGATGTGTAAGTTTTTCACACATCAAATGATCCTTAAGTAGCAACTGGTGTCCTGCAATTCAGTTCAGTTCTGATACCATCTGCCTGGAATTAGCACCACAAGACCTCCCCATGTAAGACCCCAGGTTGTCACAAGTCCCAGGTTGTCACCTATATTTCTGACTGACCAGCTATAAACCAAGGTTGCCATGACCTCCTCCTTGGGTTCAATAATTTGCTAGAATGGCTCATAACATTTAGGGAAACACTTATGTGTACCGGTTGATTATGTAACAAAGGATATGATACAGAATACAGATGAACAGCCAGATGAAGAGCTACGTAGGGCAAGGCCTGGAGAGTCCCAGGTGCAGGAGCTTCTGTCCACCTGGAAGCTCTCTCAAACTCGTACTTTTGGGATTTGATGGAAATGTCATCATGAAGGCATGAATGATCACGAACTCTACTTCTAGCCCTTCCCCTCTTCCCAGAGGATGGAGAACAGGTCTGAAAGCCCCAAGCTTCGAATCAGACCTTGGTCTTTCTGGTGACCAGCCCCCATCCTGAAGCTGTTCAAGAGCCCACCAAGAGTCAGCTCCTTATATCAAAAGACACTCCTATCACCCAGGAAATTCCAAGGGATTTAGGAAGTCAGTGTTGGGAGCCAGAATCAAAGACCAAGTATTAGAAGAAATGCTCCTCATGTTCTCATCACTTGAGAAATCACAAGGGTTTAGGAGCTCTGTGCCAGAACTGGGGGCAGATATATAAATAAATATATATATTTAAATATTTATATATTCTATTATTTTACAAATATATGGAAAAAATAGGTTGCACATGGTAAGGATATTACTGTTTGGTGAAACTTTGGCTTCAGCTATATATACATATAATCTGTTTATATGGGTGTGTATTTCTGCGCGTGCATGGAAATATATTTCTAACTCCAGGAAACAGAGATTTGAAAACTAATGGACAAATAAGCTCCCTTCCAATTCTAAGACCCTCTGATTCCCCCCTTATACTGCTGACCAGTA